ATTAGTTCATTCTGATTTTGCAGGCGGTATTATCTTGCTGTTTAAGAATGTTGAGGCGGCTCAGCCAATTCTGTATAACCTCTCTAGAGTGATCCCATCATTTGGCGTGCTCTTCATATCTTCAAAGTGCGAGCTGTTGTTTTAAGACCTCCAGCCACTTGATAGCGCGGAACTCGAGGCAGTTGATCAATTCACTTACCTTGGTAGCTGCATCAGCGACATAGGGCGCCTAACCGTTGAATCTGCGGCGTGGAAAGGGGGTTTCCTCGGCCAGAAGGGCCGTGTGTACAGAGCCACAGTGGGGGCCGTCCTACTCTATGGGAGTGAGACTTGGCTTCTGAGGATCTGAGGCGCCTTCAAGTCTTTGATCACTGCTGTCTGCGGAGCATTGTCGGTGTCGGATGACACCAGCGTGTCCGCAGCGAGGATGTGCGTAGGCGAATGCTATACGGTGGTAATCAGGCTAGTTCCTTAGAACAACAGATAGCACTGAATACGTTGCGTTGGCTTGGGCACCTACTACGTATGCCCGGTCACCGCTTCCTGAGGAGGGCCTTGTTTGGTTTGCCACATGTATGGTGGCACAGAGCTTGAGGTGGACAAAACTTCATTTGGCAGCGGGAAATGAAGTCATTGACGACTGAATCGGGTGCCGTTGTTCCGTCTCGCTTTCCGGCTTGGGGTCCACGTGACCCACCTTATGCTTGGCTCGAGATGTTACAGGACTTTACTCGCAGTCAGCACCATTGGCGCGTCTACTGTCGTCTCGTTGTCGGACCACCTGTCTAGAGCGTGTTTGGTGCTGAGTTATCTGCGGGGTAATGGCTGATTATGAAGCGGGGCATAGGAAACCGCAAGGGAGTTGTCTCGCGTATTCCGCCTTGTCTTTGCACGATATGTAGTTGCCTTGACCCTGACTCTTTTCTTTGAGCATTAACGCGTTTCGCTAGGTATCTTTCTTATCATTGTTCGTTTCGTAGGTCGTTGTGGTTGTACGGCAGCGAAGCATCAGTTCAAATGGTTGATGTATTGTTGATGGCGCCCTATAGCTGAAAATGTGGGTAACCCATTGGTGGATTGTTCAATCACTCTGCTCAATCCCACGTGGAGCACAGGGTGGATACTTTTCAAGCCTAAAATTATCAGCTGGCATCTCTAACGTGGTATGAAAATCATCGAGACTTTTATCATAGTACCATGTTGGAGCACCATAGGCAACATCGAACCCCGACATTTTGCACTTGGGAATATACCCTCCTGTGTCTCACCCAAGTATTTGTTAAACCTGTATCGATTGTTTTGGCTGTGTCCTGACCATGGTATGGTTTGCGGTCGCTTATTTTATCGTGGTTTACTTCCTGTTGTTGCGTCTACTTAGGTGGAACCACAGAGTAGTCAGCTGATAGCTTGGAGAAAAGATATGGCGAGCTTGGTTAGATTGATGTGCCTTGTACATGCCATCTTCCTTGTTAGGAGTCTCTAGGTTGTCCCTATCAGTGCTTGAAGACCTTATCAGATGTGGTTCCCTTGCGGAATAGACGGTGCCCCAGCGTTCGGCCAGTTGCATCTGTATGTTAACACTCCACCCCGATTAGTCTTACTTCCTATTCCCGTATTCCTTTTCCTTCCATTCTACTTCGCGTTTTACTCACTTCCGGAGTTTCCATTTTTATTAGTATAGTAACTCGATTCTTAAGAAGAAGATACACTGCACATCTTTTCTAAGATCACTCCTGTTTAATTAGCGGAATCGGACTGAACCCCCGAGGTGTTGTTGTATACAGATCGTTTCCTGTACTCACTCAGAAGTATATTGACAACTCTTTCACCTCAACACCGAGGTGCAAAAAGTGTCCTCACCACCACAGGCACTGTCAAGCGCTTGTCGAAATTTCTACTCGGCTTCTATACCATGAATTTATGCCTCGATTGTTTTCTGTGCTGGCAACACTCATACGGATGGTAGCCGAAGACATGTTATGCGATTCAACGTATGAGCTGCAAGCAACTTCTCACGCGGTTCTTTCGTTGGAAATCGAAAAGTTTCGATGCTTTTGTCGACTCCAGCACTTATGCGCTCTGCAAGTTTATCAAGCTAATTGCGCAGATGAGTAGATGTTATCAACATGAAATGTACCCCATATGTGATACATGCTTGCATTGCGTCCTAAAAACGAAATCTTGTTAGAAGGTCCCCTTATGCACCGCAAACTGACGGATCCCGTAACGGTAACTCCATCTGTGTTCACCAGAACCTACGGCTACACCACCGGAGGTTCAAGCGCCCACACACAGCTGAACATTGCTAGTCTCGTTTTTCTACCTTGCTACTAATCATGTGAAGATGTGGTCGCCTTTTAAGTGACTTGACAGGTGCTGTTCTTAAATCTCAGCAGCTTTGCTGACTACGCAGTACCTCCACGTACTGGCCACGTCTGAGCTGTGGATGTTGATTGAAGTTCGGATGATGGGTGAAAAGTCGTTCTTACTGAAGCCTATGGCTATTGTTGCAGTCTCAGCCGATTCACTTCTCTCCAGATCGCTAGCGAAGAGCTAACTACACAGCTCCTGTGAGTCCTGCTTATGTCAGAGGGCCAGGCCTTATTTACTGTTCTCATTGGATCATATGTCTTTGTTGATTTGGGGTATATTCGGGCCACCTTCATGTGGTACCATCAGACACGGTGAAATAATTCGTTTGGAATCTTACATCAACCTCAAGCGGATGACGTTTACGAAGAGATACACCAAAAAATGAGTCAGGTTGATAATTGTCGTGGTTGGACACCTTATCGAATATAGCGCAGCCACAGGGTCGTGGGCCCCGTTGCATCCGTTACCTCATTTTTGACCCCATGATCATCCCCTCAGACAGTTTTGCTTCATTTGTTCATTCTCCCTGGTTTATTATGTTGGCGACGTGTACCCTAGTAACTAGATCCACCGCACAGCACCTCATTGCACGGATCATGGTTTCCAAATTTACCGGATTTGCACATTATGTACCCCTTTTTGCGAATGGATTTCGATACGCAATCTTGTTCTGAAGTGAACCTCCATCAGTTCAGTTGCTGGAGTCACATACACGTATTAAGTACGATGTGTTACTCGCTACGATTATTTATAGCCATGTTCATATCTGTGCAGCAGCCCGACCACATCGAGACCGGGGGAGCCCACATTTTCGCAATCATCGATTAGAAAATAGTAGCTACCCTACGGCATTGACCGAAAACGAAGCACTGCGCTGATTCAGCCCAAACCTAACACGAGGGTGCAGCTGAACTATTGGCGAGGGTGCAGCTGAACGAACCGATGGCTGGGCCACATGTTGCGCATGCCAGCACACTGACTCCCGCGACGTAAATTATTTGCGCGCCGCGGGTGTGGTTGGAAGATGAGGAGGGGTGGCCAAGCGATGACTTGGTCGAGAGAAATGAAAGCCCTCACTTCGATGTTGGCGTCGGTTGGTGCATCCCGACTGCCTAGCTGGGAACCTAAGGACGATGAACACGTTTGGTTGGATACAATTGCTAATATGGCTAGGAGCTGGCCCCAGTGGCGTTTGTATGGTGAGTTCCTTTGTCCATACCCCTCCTGCTTAGCCTCACCCTCCAATCATAATCTCATTCGTTAGTCATAATATAACTCTTTTTGCGGCATGATAGCCGGCTGTTAGCCCTCGGGAACATTGTCCAACCGTTACTGGGGACTCAGTCGGCGTGCCTCTGTTGTTTTTTCTTCTTGCCTTTTGTATTGCGGCACAATAGCTGATGTGTTTTTCACCTACAGCTAACGTGTATAATGATGATGCTAATGAAACACGATATTTATCAGATTCTCATTGACAGTGGGAACCACTCGACACAAGCTTATGTTCATCTCTTGTCTATTCTTCTCCCACGACTACCTCCCTCCATCTGTGTAGCGCCATTCTGAGGGTGGAAACGAGTTTGGTCGTTTGGAAGCAACCATGCTGCGCCATATAGTACCACGTTTATTATTTCTATTTCTTTTGAACACTCGTAAACCGTATCTCAAAGGCGGTACACTTGCCTATTGCACATTCTTCTCTGAGGCATGTCTTATTCGTTCTACTAACAGAGTAACGATCTTTCTTTCTATTTTTTCTTTATGTTTACTACTAATCCTGCTGACAATTTTCATGAGTCTGGGAGTTTCAACTGAAATAATTGTTTGTGCACCACTACACACAGTTGTCGAAAGAAATCGGTTTCGGCTTCAGTAAATCACACATCATCACTTTTGTCTTCCGTAAGTACAGTGTTGGCGGTTGCGAACATAACACTTCCACTTTAGCAGACTTCTCAAGAGATTTTCTCCTGCTATCACAAGGCCCACTTGACTGAGTTTTTTCTAGACATTCAACCAATTTCATTGATTCAGCTGCTCCAAATCTTATCCCAAGCACCGCCTCGTAATCAAGCGAAAACAACAGGGCTCCGGTACTCAAGTTGGGTATGGTTTGTTTCGAGGAAAGCTCATCACCTCGCTCGTTAATGCCCATATGGTGAATATTTCCACCGTGCTTTTGATTTAGGTGGAAGCTCTCAACTAAGGCGAACAACGTTGCTAACATACTTCACCTAATTACTAACCCTGGCCTATAACCTAACCGGTGGAATGAGAGGATGCGGCCATTACCTGTGATCCCATTCCCCTGTCCTCCGATGGTACTGCACAGAGCTACTCAGCGAAGAACTATGGTGATGCCTCCGCGTTGACATGCAGCTTTCATTCGACAGCCATACCTGTAAGTTGCCTACCATGTGTTGTGTATAGAACAAGACACGATATAGTGAGGTATCATCTTGAGTTTGACAGCCTGCTGGGGTCGAATCGTTCGTCGCCAGCTTCGTTGTAAGTGCACTAAGAAATTTAGTTTGCTGGGCAATAGGCGCGATTGTGCATACACTCGAGTCTAGTGTATCGGTCCCTTCTTTACCTTCGTAGCATTTGTATATCAACCAATAAAACATACATGTTTACATATATAATGTCATACTCTAAATCTCACCAAACCCAACGATCGGATAATTTATCAAATGTTGTGAAGATCTCACTGCGGCCCAGGTGATTGGTGGCAGGATGTGAGGAGTGGGGTGTGGGTGAAAGTACACGATTGTGTCGAGCTGGTGACAGCAATTGGTCAATAGGATTGTCTCCCTCTGGGTTCATGAAATGCCTGTCTCATGTTGCTTTGGTTTTTTCCCAATGCACTTTACAGGTCTATCAACTGGTCTGCATTCACCTCGTGGGCGCCTGGCATCTTTGACAATCGGCCATTTCGGACACATAGGGTTCCACTTGAATTGTGACTTCGTGTACCAGATATCTTTTCCTTAACAGAGTGCTTGCGTTGTTCAAAATCCCTTGTGCATCTGCGGCTGGATCTGTAAAATAAAGTTCTAATTAGTCGAAAATGTATGACACGGAAGTTTTAGCAACTATGGGTGTGAATACTGAGGCATCATCCGAACCACGTGGTTTGCAACCCCTTTATCACTGGGCAATGTCGCATCATCAGCGCGACTTCCAGGGGCTTCAGTTAACTTTATATCTGCATCGCAATCAAAGCAAGGTAATGGTGGGGAAATTCTACTTCCCCGAAAGCCTCATTGAAAACATTACCGTTCTGGTGGCTAATGCCTACAACCAAACAGGCCAGCTTTATATAAGCTCATCGATCTCAATCACAAGCCTTCCGAACACACGGTATATGCGCACATCTTATCAATACTCTGTGGTAGCTTAGTGTCTTCTCCGTAGCTCACTGCGTGGAGCTTATTATGCCGCGCTACAGAGGCGTTCTTGGTTCGACAGCGAACTCGAACAGTGTGTGTGTGTGTGCTTACACCTCTTCCGTTGAGTAACATGCGCTATTCCTTCTAGTAATCTTGTTGATTTGCTCAGCGTTCTGTGGAGACACTGGCATCCATATTGACCGTGTTGTCTGAGCAACGACAAGTTTGCACAGGTGCCTCTCCATCACTAGCCTCTATAACTCTTCACTTACCGGCTTCCTTAGCCTACTTTGAGGCCTTTTCATCCAAATTAATTATTGCTCTGTAGAAATAAGTTGGCAACCAGCTTCAGCGACCATCAGGAAACGGAATGGCACGTGCAACCAATCGATGTTATCTATTATGCGAGTTTGTGTTGGGAAAGATGGTGAAATATGAGCCGGTGGATCAACTCCAGGTAATGCTGCCGGTTGCGTTTCTTCACTTTTCACCGACTCATTAAACATCTCATGGTGGAGACTTTCGTTACTATAGACTAGCCTACCGCTTAGCCTCCGCTGTGCTATTCTGCTTTGGACTTTCTCTTGAGTCGTGGGAACCCATACTGCAGTCCACGGCCCGTGAAGTCAGTTTGGAGTGGTAACTGCATTGGCGTCCTCTAAACTGACCAGTTTGAAATACGAGCAGCAACCAAGTAGAATATTCCTTCCAGTAGGCTTAATTTCGCTCAGTTTATAGCTTGTAACGCACGCTTGAGACGTGGTCCTATATTACCATGGACATGGTGTTCGTACAAGCACTAACCGAGGTAGCAAGAACACCGGCGGTCGTCCGTAGTTTCTCCATTCACAAGTGACTTGCGGTATTGCGGCGGAGTAGACTGCAGCTTTGTAGACCTTAGCCTTCAACAAAGGCTGATACTGTTTTGCTAACACAAAAACCAACACCAACTAAGTTGGCGCTGACTCGCTACTTCCTTTGTATCCCTGGCATCCACCTTATGGGATAACTTCTGACTTGTATGCAGATGATGGTTAAATTTTGCTTCACTGACGAAGAATGAAACCAACTGCTCGATCACGTCTGCCGTTACCGATGAGTTTGTCGATAGTTTCGGCGAGAAACATTTTGCACCTGTTACTATTGAACAAGGTTCACCCTCGTAGTGGACTCGTAGACACAAAACTTCTTTTATCTTCATGGCTCGAAGTCAACTTTCTTCAAGAACTGAGAAATCAAACGATTTCTAGACGAACCAGTAATGCGCTGTCGCTTTCCTAGACTGCGTCCGATAGTAACCGCAATCTCTTCGCAATATTTTCCTTGTATGTCAACAATCTGATGCCTATTTCCATGTCTTCAACTTACCACGTGGTCCTCTGTTCATAGTGGACCCGGCATGTTCACATCTGGGTTTTGGAGTGTCCGGCCTTGGTGCAGCCCCATCAATGCTTCAACTTACTGGTAACGCCGTCTTGATATCTCAACTTGCTCCAACTCAATCATCTCGTCAAATTATGTGGGTACGACCGGATGAGGTCATTTCATTCACTGCCAACCTCAAAGATCGCTTAGCCCCTCTGCGCTACTTGCAGTCTGACTGGCGCCATCCGATCTAGGCGGCGACGGTGTGCTGTATTCGGTTGAATGCGCTGGACTACAAGTGCGCAATTTCGCATCGCATAACATTGCTTTTGATAAGGCTGCACCTAGTGGTCAGTGTTTTCCCCGTAACTTTACATCACGGAGCTCTGCTCTTACTTATCTGAGTTGCGACGGTGCATTGTAGTACCCTTTATTTAATAACCGGCACACGCACCGTTCCGGTTCGCAATTTTGTCCACATCATTTTCAATGCACTACATACTACTAACTGTCTATAAGTGGAAAACCTAGTCGTGTCATAAAGGTATTACCATGATAACTGAATGCGGAACATCCGGTATCGACTGCTGTTCTCACTCACCTACTGCCAAATGCACTGCCACAGCAGTTTTGTTCATTGTCAGGCTCCACATGCGAAGGTTGTGCAATTCTATCACCCCGGGGACATCGTGTAGCGCGTTCCTCACTTCGTTGAACTCCAGCCCCTTCGGAGTGGCCTCCATCAGCACGTTGAGTGTGTCCCGTAGGATGTTGATGGTGGTCACGAGGACGAGGATGGAAAACAGGAATGTGCAAATAGGGTCCACTATCTTCAAGTCTGGCTACAATGGAGAAACAACAGATTGTCAATTCAACGGCTGCTGCAAAGTAATGATCCTATCTAACATCGCTGCAAGCGGGCTTCAACTTACATCGCCGTATGCGCGCTGCCCGATTTGATACGTTACATGTCCATCGTTCTTTTGAACTCTCACTAGGCGAGAGTACTCCGTCCCCTCCCGCAACTATACACTGTCTCATAGAGCCAGTTTGAGTTTTCAATTCACTTAACGGTGAAGCGCAAGTAAGTTCCGCGGCTGGGGTGCAAAAAGTAAAAAAAACGTTTCTGCGGCATTTCAACCGGCGATAATGTTTGACGAACTGTTGGCCTCCCGGTGAGGTGATGTGGCGTGTGTGTGGTATGCATCCTTCAGAATCTTATGCACCAATATGAGATGACCTCGCAGAGGACGATATTTTTAAAAGTAAATGCACAGGGCTTTCAGTCTAATCTGAAAACAAATGAATCAAGCCATTACCATTTTAGTCCCTCTTCGTTATGGAATCTCAGGAGCAGTGAGATCATGTTTTTACCAGGTGTGACACACCTGGATGGTGTATTGCACATGCTGTCTCACGCAAGCGTTGAGCATCTGCGCAAATAGTGTAGGATCAAACCAGACAAACGTCCTTTACAAGTGGCCTAACTGTTGGCTAACTCTTCTCAATGCCTTCTCAGTCTACTCCGAACAACTAAGATTCTCCCGCATGAGCACCCGGAGCTCACTTTTATGTGAAGTGCGCAGCAAACGTGCTTTCCTAGTGAATCTTCCTAGGTGTTGTGGTGGCGGATGCTCATTATTTTACACTTGACCGGGTTGACCGAGTTTGGGAACTTGCCACTCGCGAACCCTGTTGAGCTTATCTTGCAGTGCTAATTGGTGATCTACCGTACTGTTTGCAGGCCAACGCTCGAGGTCATTCCCAAAGAATAGAAAGTTTGCGTTCAGCACTTTCGCAAGGTCGTTTATGAACACTAGGAATAGCTGCTCAAGATTATCTACTCTACTGAATTCCAATGACTAGCAGCTCATTTAATTTTCTACTGTTTTAGCACATTTTTCCACCGGTTTTGCTCAGGTATGGCACCAACTCTCATCTGTATGGTTAGAGACTACCTATGTGCTCGTTGCTGATGACATAGATGCTCAAGTAAACCTCTTAACTGAGCTTAAAAGACGTCTAGAGGGGTCCGTTTCAAGGTCATCAACCCGTTGCTGGTTGTAGGTGGCTCCCACTACTCTCTACTTGACGGGTGCAACCAAGTACAGAACTGGTCGTGGAATGTGCAGTGATGCGAGTGGACAGCACTCAATATGTCCCACAACCTTAACATTACAGCCTTCTAGCACGTGCATCCGCTTAGTACCAATTGACATCTACCGAGCGAAAGACTGCGCTGGACTTTGCTCCAACATGTCGTCATCGATCACAAACACCAACTCAGCTTCCAGTCACACTCTCATGCCCGTTCCCACTGCGTTCACTCTCTCGGCCTCAGCGAAGCGTCGAATTGTCATTATCTCCCATCAGGTGACTTCGTATTTCAGCGAGCCAGGCCAGAGCCTCAGTCCTCAATGACGATTGCTATGAACAAACTCAACACTGATTGCGATCGTTTTCACCTAGCACTAAAGGCGGTCTTCGCAACCTCTTGTTCACCTTCCAAACGATGTCCGAATACACCATTAAGTTCCAAGACCTCAGTCACGTTGATTGCATTGCTAAACGTGGTGCTATCGGGAAAGAACATCTGATCAGAACAACCAGATCTGATCGGGGGGCTCTGACGGGCGACGATCGTTTCTAGGGTAAAGGCTTGAACTATTGGGTTTCACCGAATAAACTTCTATCTCGTTCGAAATACTGGACAAATATTCCATAACCCTACCAGCTGGTTTAAACTATGGCGGTTAAACTGTTCGCTGAGCTTCGTAATTTTGTTGCAAACGTTTCGTCACCAATCGAGGTGACATCATCAGTGTGTAGTTGAGTGGCGTGCAGTAGCGTAGAGTATCGTAGAGAAACCTCGATAAGAGTGCGCTGAGCGCGGCGTGCGTGCGTTTGTATACCGCCGCAGTTGACCGTGGACACGAGCACTCTTATTGGTTTAGTCTTCGATCCGCTTTCAGCTTGGTTGAAGGGCAGATGACCTTTGCCCTTGACCCTTTGTGTTTCGTGGTCTTTGTCTGCTCGCTCTTGTGAGCGAGTCTGTTGTCAGTCCTGGTTGTCTAGTCACACGGTCCACCCGATTCAATCGATCGAGTTGGCGGTCGTTCGCCAGTAGCGTCGCGTATACTGCGTCCAGTTCGATTGATTGAATTCGCTGTAGAGTACCAGGCTTCCGAAAACTCACTCGCGTGATTTGTACTTCCATGTGCTAGGATCTTTACATTCTCCAGATCGAAATGGTGGCCTTCTTGATCCTCATGCGCAGAAACCAATGAGTGCAGACCATGCCTTCTGACGACCGCCTTATGTTCGGTGATTCGTGTACAAAGCTTTCTTCCAGTTTGTTCGACGTAGTTTTTATCGCATTCGCTGCATTTTATCTGGTAGATGACATTGCATTGGTCGGCTTGATTGACTTTTTCTTTGGGTCTTGTGATCAATTTCCTTAGGATGGCACTTGGCTTGGGAGCCACAGAGATTCCATGTGACTGCAGCAATCTTCCCGTTAGTTCGGAGACGTTCTTGATGTAGGGGAACACCGGCCGTTTGTTTGCTTGCTCAAGTGACTGCTTCTGCTGAGACACTGGTTTTTTAAGCTTCTTCTAAAGGGATATCTCGGATAACCGTAGTTCCTAAACACTCGATATAGGTGATTTTTTCCTGCTTCCGCGGTCCGGCTGTGCTGCAGTGCGTTTCCGCTCCTTAGAACAAGGTTTAAATGCAGCTCTTCTTGTGATTCATCGAATGGTTGCTGTGGCAGTTTAATATCTGGTCCGTATGCGTTTTCTTTCGATTTTCGCACGTTTGCAGAGATCCGTCGGTATTCCTAGTGACCAGTACATCCAAAAATGGTAACTTGTTATCCTCCTCTAATTCAATCGTAAATCCGATATCTTTGAATTTGCTGTTGAGCAAATCATGCATGGCCTTTACTCTGTTCCGTTTTACGATGAGCAATGTGTCGTCCATGTATCATATCCGGAGTTTTGGGCTGATGAATAGCAGTACAATGCGCTCCAATTTCTGCATTACGGCTTCTGCAATGAGTCTCGAAATCGGGGATCCCATGGGTGTTCTTCTCAGTTGCTGGTACACTTGTCCACCAAAGCGGAAATAAGTGGTCATGCAGAGGTTCAGAAGTTCCCAAAATCTTTCAGATCGTAAGGTTGTCATTGGGCTTAGTTGATTCTCAAGTACTTCTATTCTGGTTTCTTTGGCCAATTCGTAACCGATTGAAGTGAAGAGTGCAGTGACATCAAATGAATGCACTATTTCGTCGTCCTTTTTTCTGACCTTGTGAGCATACAACCCTGAAACACGCTTGTCATTGGGAAACTTTTGCCTGCCGACATACTTGCACACGCGAACAGCTCTACTTCCCTTATGAATGCCTGAGAAGGAATGTGCTGCCAGCGAGTGCAAACCACAGACCGATGCCAAACCATCCAGCTGCCTGGAATTTCTCAAGACAATACGGGGACGCATGGTCAAACTGATGAAAATAGATGTCCACAACCGCCTATGCAATTATGGGAAAGTCATAATAGACAATAGAATTTAGTTGCCTCAGTGCTATTGACTTACAGCTACGAACAGCGCTGGTATCTGTAATTGAACGTCGAGTCGAAAGCACAAAGAACCGACACAAAATTGCATTGAGTACAAAGTTAGACAAACTGAGTAAGTGAAATGACCGCGCTAGCAGTGAAGGATGAATCAAAAACCTTTCACTCCCCTACCTCACTGCAACTTTAGCGGATGTCTTGATTAAGGGGCTCAACTTCAACGTCAAACATGCTTGCCCCAAAGCCTACTTGCCTGGCTTAGAGCACGCATTGAAATCAAGTAGACTGTCGGAGGAGTCTAAGCAGAAAATACGGCAGACGGTTATCTCAGTGCTAATTCAGAACAAAGTCACCCAGACTCTAGCCAAGTGGGAACTGGATGCACTCAGACACCTACAGAACGACGAGAACATTGTAATCCTACCTGCGGACAAACGGCGCATGACAGTGATAATGGACAAATCGGAGTATATTAACCGAGAACTACTACTACTATCGCCAGATCAATCAAGATCCAAGTTCAAAACTGGTCAACCAGATCAACGCATCGCTGAAAAAACTACAAACAAACAACGAACTCACCGTCACGGAGAGATGGAGAATGAAAGCTGATGGTACAGACATTGCACTGTTTTATGGACTACCAAAAGTACACAAGGATGGAGTCCTATTAAGACCAATCGTCTCGCTCCCTGGAACCCTATCTTATAAACTAGCGAAGGATTTGTGGAGGAGGTTGAGACATTTGATTGCTGGATCCGAATATAGCATCAACAATGCTGAATAATTCCTCAACAAACTACGAAGTGTCAGAATAGAAGACGACGAAATAATACTTTCATTCGATGTCACTGCACTCTTCACTTCAATCGGTTACGAATTGGCCAAATAAACCAGGATGGAAGTACTTGAGAATCAACTAAGCCCAACAACAACCCTACGACCTGAAAGTTTTTGGGAAGTTCTGAACCTTTGCATGACCATATATTTCCGCTTTGATGGACAAGTGTACCAGAAACGGAAAATTGCTGGCAGTACGCAACGCAGCGTGGCGAGAGTATAGATTGTCCCCAACACCAGAAAGCTGGGATAACTACGTAGCCTAACATAACCACTGCGCTCAAGTGCTCAGAGAGGACAAAGCCGCGCATCAGCAGAACGTGGCAAAAACCTTTAGCGCCAATCGCGAACTACTATATAAGCACGTTACTGGTCTACGGGAGGTGAGGCAGGGAGTTCCGCCACTCACGACGACTGATGGCCCA